GGTGCATCAATAGCGCAACATCAATCCGGAATTATCAACGTAAGTCAAGGGAAAATTAAGAATTCGTTGAATACCATTACTAGCTTCGAACAAAACATTTCGATTGCCGTAGATATCGTTATATAAACATAGTGTAAATATATTTATCCCAATATATTGATATACACTTGAAATGGAATCTCTATAGGAAGATATTTTAACAAGGCCTCACAATTACCACTATCCAACCTCAAGTCAAGTCAATGAATGGCTTTATACACCTTAAGAAGTGGATATTCAAAAACCACATAACCATAGTGTGTCAACAAAAAGTGGAAAAATCAACAATTAACAATTGATAATGAAAGATGATAGTGATATTTGGCCAGTGGTGCCTTTGTGTTTTGAACAGAAGCTTTATCGATTGCTTGAAACAAATGTCAGGTTGTTGTACTCAATTTTACTTAGTCATAGAATTGCAGGTTTCTCAATCTCTAAACTGAGTTTGACAAAGAAAGCGGGCGATCAGTGAGCAGCCGATTTCCGTGTTATTACACACACAACACCATTCAACGAAATAGATTGTAATTCAATACTAACCTATCTTGTCCATGAATTACTCTCCCACCGGACGTGGTGTACGTATATATACTAGTAAATAGTAGGAAGCGAACACCGTTTATTTTTGCCTAAACAGTCTGGCAAGAAAACAATGCATGGATCATTCTTTCCCAGTGAATACTAACCAGAAGATTGCATGTGACGGTAAGAAATTCTTCTATTGTTGGTCATGGAATAAATAAACATTAGAAATCTACTCCTCAAAGTGTTAAACTTATGACATTATGCTGAGTAATTGATAGAGATTGGAGTCGATTATGTATTGTACAACCTCTCTAAATGTCACATGAGTAAATCATTTAAAATGCAATGTTTCTAACTCCATATGGGCCTCAGTTCAACTTAACAAAGGTTTTTGTTTCTGCAGTGAGTGACAATTTCCACGACATTTAACATCGTAACTGAATAGATAAACGTTGGATCACCCCGGGGCTAGTAACTTAGTGCCATGCCTCTCTGAAAAAATATATTGCATTTATGATGTCTATACTGAAAGTACAGTGAACTAATCACTCAGATATATTGTTGCAAATCAAGGTATTACAAACCTGGGAATAAAGGAACATTCGATCCAAACATTTATTGTGAAACTCACAGCGTACGATTGAAGGAAATGTTCTCGTGAAATGAAAGCTCACCTTGAATTAATATATTACATATTACATATTCCATTTTTTACAAATGTGGAGAGTAATGTGTAGGTGGTTGTAATTCAGACTGGTAAATCTGGCTGGTTTGATACAACGAAAATGTGTCTCATTTAATTTACTGGAGAATCCTATCATTCTCAATAACTTTCACTTTTCATTTTGTGCAATAATTTTTGTTTCACTCTCATTGGGTTTCAAATGGCAGAATTATTGTGTTTTTGTTAAATAAGCTCAAAGTAAGCTTTCAAACTAACTCACTTCCCCCACCTCCCGGGAAACCCAATAGTTATTCCTTATTTCCGACTTGAATTAATTAGAGCATATTTATGTTTTAATTATTCTCAGGTGAACTAAAAGTATTGACCGGATCTTTTGCATTTAAATCTTTTAAGGTTTCCTAGTGGAGCCGGTCACGAGAACATCTTAGATGGCATGATAGAAGCTCGTATCTCGTATTTAATTTACGTAAAACGTTAGACAGCTGACTGCGTCCTTGATTGGCACATTCAAGCACAAACGTATTCTGAGGCTGATTTGTTTCATCACCAAGTCGTACACTGCTGTAGATATCGGAACTTGAGTTCACCAAAAGTAACGTTGTAATACCAAACATATGAAAAGAGATTTGCTTGCCCATTTACGTGGTCGTTTCTGGGCTAGTTCGTGCAAGTGACTGCCCGGATACGAGAGGAAATATCTGCAAGCATTATCTGTTGGTTATTTATCAGATTGGAAACCTTCGGTCTAATTATATCCCGGTTCCGAACACGTTTTCAGCGAGTTATCGGTGCTATTGAAAATACTAATGAATAACCGCCTTAACCATTGCATTGTTTTGTGTAAGTAAGTATGTGAAGAAGAACCCAAAATAGACTTTAAAAAGTGTTAATGATCGACATTGTTATCCTCGCACTATGCATCAGTCCCATCCAACTTGTGATTTGTGACTACCAAAAGGACACAGAGTTAGCAAAAATGAGTATCACTAATGACCATACAAGTAATAACATCAAAGAATCTTGCTAAATGTCTGTGTGATGAACAAGCTAGAAAACAAATTACAAGTGCCATCCACTTGCCTCTGCTGAACGCCTATGGTAAAGCAGCGACTGCCGCTCCAGCGAACTGCTACTTTGTGGTGGACTTCATCATCGGTGATAATATCGAACACCGTAGGCTTTTTTTGCAATATACTTTACACACTTGTCTTTAGTCACTCTTCATTGGTGTCAGTTGGGAAAAAGAGCAAGAGGAAAGTTTATGCTTCCCACAGACGAACGCATTGATTACTTGTGTCTGTGCCATTTGGATAGGACTTCCTCCCCCCCCCCCCCGACAGTCACAACTATTACGCATTCCACGTGAGTAATGGGGAATTTGACTAAATTTCAAATGGGAATTCGTCTTGTTCATGGTAAATGAAGCGTGAACTGCAAAACTAGGAATCACTGGACAGCTGTTTCGACGTGGTTGGGTCTCATCAGCAGGGCTAATACATCGACCCAATTGGGGACTTGGGATGGAACCCGGGACTTCATGGGCAGAACGAAAGCATGCTACACACTACGCAGCCAAGCAGTTGATCGGACCGTTTTTCATCTTCCATTTACGCGATATAGCACAAACCATCTTTGCGAGCTTGTTGCGAGCAGGTTGGTCTGGAAATATATGATGAACAACGGCCGACTGCTGTGAGTGGCTTGGCCATCGCCTCAAGTTCGGTGATGTCAAAAGATAACGCACACACACACACTCGGCGAGCACCGAGTCCATACGCATCACCTGTTTGATACATCGCATTAACCATCTACCTTCCGCCTTTGATATTTTGATCGAGTGCACCCCGGCACGCACGCAGGCACGCACCGAGGTGGCCATTTGTTTGCGTGCGTGACAAAATATATCCTGCCAGATCTTAGATGTGACAATACTTTACACTTTGATATTTTGTCCATAGTTTGCACTCTCTTGGTGACCAGACTTTTGGCAAACTGTTGCATTAAACTCTGGCATGGTGTAAAACAAATTGTGTAATGTGATTCACTTTCCCTATTTTTCAAATGAAAAATTAGAAAATGAGATCACGAGGCAAGCACAGAGTGTTTCGAGAAACATGTCAAAAGTGACAAAACGTTGTCCTTGAGTTCATCACAGATAAATGATTGCACATGATTCTCGTTCCTTTACGAGCCCCAAATGACAACTGATTTCACGGGTTCCATATCCACATGAATGTCAAACCTCACTGAAGTGAAAAGCATCTGGTTTTGATGTCAAATAAATATTTTCGTAATAAATTTTATTCTATAGAAGTGATGTAATTAATAAATTGTTAATTGGAACAACACGAATATCTTATCCGTCGGTGAGAGAAATCGAATTGGTAAAGAGCTGCGCTTTTTATTCTGTCTTTATCATTTGACTTCCTTTTATTGAATACCCATAGATACAATTATTAGGAAGGGAAAGGCGGCCAATCAAAGGGCTGTCATTCAATACCTAATGGGTAAAGTCAGGCAGTGGTGGTGAGATTCGAGCACACAGTCCCGGGATACTAGTTTTGTTACGTTACCACCAGGCTACCGCCGCATTCAGAATTGTTGAAGATTTGGCCTTTAAGCCAAAAGCACTCATAAACCTCAATGAGTGTCCTCAGTTTTCTGGAACTTTCGTCGGCATTGGAGTAAAACGAAAATCGGTCACAAATACGTGTTGTGAATTTGGATTGCCATGAATAAAATGAGCTAACTCTATCGATTGACATTATTGTTTTGCAATTTCTGCAAAAACATATCAAGCGAATTCGTACATACATATCACTACTGCCATTACCAGTCATTACGTGGCTATAAATTCTGCTTACCGCAAGACAAACAGCTGAATTTCGTGGTCTGTGCACCGTGTCATCAGTGCCATCTGAGAGGCTGAACAAAAGGTCCCGGAAGCGCACCGTTCCCTTTTCGATTGCAGTCGCTCATGATTCATACATTGACGGCATAAGTGTAGCAGCAGATTTCCGAAGATACTATCTGAAGTACATAATGTTTTGGACACACGAATACGGGATTCCAGTAAGTAAATGACTCGAGGATGGAGTAACAGGCACGCATACTCGAAAAGCGGCAATAAGCAACGGGAAAGTCATCTGACCCAAGGAATATTTCAGGTTGCAATTCAGGTACAGCGCATTGCACAAAATTTGGAAAAAGCAAAGTTTGAAAGTTTAACCTCGATGACTGGATGAGAATCATAGCATCCAGTCACTCACGGAAAGTGTAAGAATACCACTTCCATAAATGTACATCTCCATGTCTTGATTATAAATAATCAGACTGATTGATTGATACGCATAACTGGGTTAAAATTGGCAAAGATTTGTGCTATATAATAACCACGAAATGGCTCAACAAGCTGATTTAATTGAATCCCATCTCATACAGTGGCCATTGACCTCCTTCATTCCACATTGCCGCCCTGCTCTGGGGCTGATTACGCGGTTGATTAACCACATGTTGTTATTACCCAGGGTCTGACAGTAAAACCAAACAGGTTGTTTGTTTGCGGTCTGATCGACCGTCAGCCGTGTTAAGAATTCAGTTCTTGTTTGAGCGTGAAACAGGGGCAATGGAAAACGTTACCAGACATAACGCGATTTGTTAATCCTGTTTCCTCTGTCCCTAATTAATAACAAATCTCATCGCAAATAATCTTATCCTCAATAATGGCATATTATTCTTTGCTATTCTTTCGATGTCATCGGTAAGCTTAATGTCCGGTAGTATTATTCTCAATTATTTGGGAACGACCAACAGACAGGTTATATTTTCCATTCAAATGTGATCCCAGTGCCGTGCCAGTTGTGTAATGTACCGGTGGTGAGAAAATGTGAAGGAATCATTCGTTCATGCATAACGTCTATACCGATCGACGGTAAAATCTTTTAACCAGAGCTACGGGAACCGAAATAATTCACGTTATATTATATGTGAACTCCCTCTCAGTCATGGCATCTCTGTTCTGATGGTCTTATGTCGAGGTTGTTCAATTTCCACAATTTTTATCAGTGATTCGGAAAATAAGCGAGCTCAGGTACTGTGTCTGGAAATTCGTATGAGATGAAACGAGAACACCTTTAATCCAAGGTTGTGTGGTCCTGTAGTCTGTGTCCGTTAAAATTTAATCCAGTTTCTGAACTGAGTATTGAAAAAATCGATATCACACTTAGCCAAGTAATTCATTCTTTCTTATTGATATTGTTATTGCATATTTAGGACTGAATTTAATAATTTTAAATGCAGAGCTCATGTAAAACCCAATGTATTTTCCTTAAACCATGGACTCTTAAGTAAATATCTGATCAAAGATAACTAGAAACCTGAGCAAAGATGGAATCGTTACTTTCTTGTGAAAATGTTGATGAGCGGTAGGAGTACATCAATATTAACAAAAGCAAAGTCACGTCAGGGACTCTTTCATGATCCCAAAGGGCAAAGTTTCAGTGACTGACTGAGTGCCACGTTAAACAAATCATAGTTAACAACAATGAGGGAAAATAAATACCATGCCGTGGTAGAAAATAAAAACAATGAAAATAAAACCTTTTCCTTGAGATGGATAATAATCGTCTTAGGATTATCCAAGAGCCATATAAGGAATGAAATTACTCTTTTTTGTATGTGGATGACGTATAGAAAGTAGCAGATAATTAGAATAAGTTGAGTGATTTGACAGAGGCTTTACGAGTTCCAGATACAGAGGTTACTTATAATTACTTGAAGTCCTGCCAACAAATTTATCATAGGCGTTGAAATGCTTGGAAATAAAAAAAATCAACCAAAACAACTCCATCGACTCCACCATTAGTTGTTCGGAATCTTTTTCCTTTACACCAGGGACAAATATCGGGCAGCAGTATTACCAGTGCAAGGGTGCAGGCAAACACGAAGTGAAGAAGAGGAACATGTGAAACGAGTAGGTTACTGGGAATGCACAACTGATAACGTTTTCTGATTTGGTCCATTTATCTGTGCTTCCAAGAAGTGACTGAGTGCAATTTTTATTGCAAAATTAGTCATTGGTACTTCAAAAGTTTCAGCTATTATTAATAAAGTATTACTTGGGTAAGCAGTGATTTATACGATAGAGTGGATATTCCTGATCGAAGCAGCTTGCGATGAACCACCTGATACAATACTGACAACTTTCATTACTGTGGCACGAAATTCGAATCAAACCTCCAGACCCATTACGGTTTTGACCATCAGCCTAACTGTAACAAAACTGAATCAATGATGCCAATTTTGTGTTATTCTGACAAAGGAAGGTAACATCCTGATAAACTCATATAATTCAATTACAAATGGCCGCAAATGACCTACATTATGATGTCTAGATTGACAACCACCCACGTTTTAGCAACGATGCTTTTGTGTGTTCAGCTTGCTCACTCAGCTTGACAGAAGTGTAGCATATCTTCTTTTGTGGGAGACGTCCACAGTATGTTTCTTACCTGTAATATTTTGTTACTAAGTTACCCGCATGATCCTCAACAAGGGTGCCATCTATATGATTTTTCAGCTCATCAGTTTAATAACGGACCGTTTTGCAGTCAAAGTGTACGTTTAGTTATGTTTGACAACACTGGTCAGGATAAAGATAAAGTCACAATATGCGCACTTCACCGAAATCTGCTATTGCAGGATAATAGTAAATGGTAAGTCAATGGGAATTGAGTGCACCGCATTTGCATGTGCAACGTGTGCATTTACCTATAGATAACCTTCTCTCACGTCAATACATTTTATTTGAGATTAGTACATGAAGAATTCGGGGAAAATAGTATAAATAGATGTCCTCAATACGAGTGGGTTTTTTCAACTGCACGTCTGAAACGCTTTTAAAGTCAGGGGCCTCAGCGTCATGGTGATGGTCCAACTTAGCCACTAGTCAGTTTCACGAGGAGCCTTGTTCATTCTACGGGGATTTACAGTTTTCCGGTTTAGACGTCACATACCACGTCGTTTTGGACACAGAGAACAAATGAGAGCACACAATAACCAACTTCCAGTTCACAATAATCCCAACTTCGAGGTAGTGTACGTAACAATATTTGAATCAGGATTGACCGGGTTCATATTCACTCTTGGTCGTTTTCTACTCTCATGCAGTGAAACATTATTGAACTAGTGAGCTCACACTACTCTATTGACTGATGGCCACTGTTCTACAAAATGTGTTTGAGCCATATTCCTAAAAACAAATCAGACTAGTGAGATATCGAAGTATGTTGGAATTGGATTCATAAATGTGTGTGGATTCATCAGTCCACCGTGTTGGTGACAACAGAGCTGCATCAATCCCACAGTGCTTCGGTGTTTTTGATTTGTTCACTTCACTTCACAAATACTGATGATGTCACCTCGGCTGGTGATGAAAAGTTTGCGAACAAATTGCAAAGCTCGGTTAACAGGAGAAATGGAATTCAGTTCACCCGAGCTACGAGAACCGATTTTTAATATTATGTCAACAGGTTTTGATTTGTGTTAAAGTCTAATATCCAAACGTTTGACTGTTAGTGAATACCAACAGTCTGTGCATTTGAACCAATACACTGTTAAGTTCAAACACAAAGTTGCAATAACGGTAACAGGTTCAGCAGGTGTTTTCAATGTGTTTTTATTTGTTGGAATCAGAGTTCAGTTTTCGGGAGAAAATGGCTTATATGGAATAGCATTGCCATGTTCACTATTTCAGTTCATGTTTAGTTTATCTTTCAAGCTGAACCTAAAAGTCTACATTCAACTAATGTTTTTTTTCCATTTTGATACTTAGACACCAACCACAGCTTGTGTGCGTTTGGTAGACACCCAAATAACTAAAGGTCCAAATGGGTTCGGCCTCACATTAGCGGAAGTGCTAACATTTATTCCGAACAAGCTTTTGGGTCTTCGAACTCCATCTGGAATCAGTCCAGATAAGGTTGGATTTTACCAACGGCTACTGCAAATCCGCGCGGTGAGTACATCGAGCTTACCTGGAAGTCCAAACGATCGAGACACCACTCAGTCTGTTCCCAACAACTCTTCCGTGCGTGCCGGTGACATGCTGTTGGCTGTGGAAGGATTTCGTCTGGCCGGTTGTACACCAGAGTATGCTGTTCGTCTGTTGGCTGGTATCCCAGTTGGAGGTGTGGTACACGTGACCTTGCTTCGTGGATTAGCTCTGGCACCGATACAACACATTCGTCCAAAACCGGACGAAATGCCAAAGCCACCGCCTTCTCCTGCCAAGCATGACAGTCCAGATTTAAACAAAATCAAGTCTTCAGTCCTGAGCCACGTCAATGACCGATCCAGTGGACGCAAGTCAGAAACTTTCAATCCATTGATTCCCAAAGACAGTTTACTAAGATCAGCAAAGAAAGTGACCGGGCAAACATTTACACAAAGCGCCGTAAGTCAGATATTCGTTATTATCTTAATGGGAACTGTGGAACTGTTGTGTCTGAACTGGAACATTTGCAGTGAATTTTTTATTACCGTTCGATAATAAATTTTGAGGTTATAATTTCCCTGTGCTTTGCCAGAACTAAAAAAGGAACGCTTAGCATCCAGTGAGCACCGGTAATGGTGCTCACGTTCGGACGATTGGTTTATTTAATAACCAATCAATTGTGGTTAGCCTTAAGTGCTGACACAGTGACGCACATAATGCTGAAGAAACAATAACTAAATGCATTTCAATACACATTTCATGCAGTTAAAAGTAACCTTATCATCCGGTTAGCGAGAATAACACATTTGGCTGTTTTTCACATAATCCGAATGTGTAATTATCATGACCGTGACCAAGATATGTACTCAGGCATTGAGGTAGCATAGTCTCTGTGTAGCGTGCAATCCGTTCACAAGGCACAGTCATGGATCTGAGGAGTCGCACACTGTCTAAAAAATGTTCCATCGCAGAACATGCCCCCGAGTAAATATTCTCATTGCAACTGGTCATACCTGGTTTATATTTACCCAGATTGTGGACCGACCTTCGAAGTCAAGAGGGTGTTATGTTGTTCGTATTTACCTCAACTGATGATATCGCGAGGTGAAGAAATTCAAAGTTTGTTCAATAGATATACACATTTGGTTTCCAGCATTCACTTACAGGTAGTGCTGCTTACGTAAAGTCATTGACCTGTCTGGTTGTATTTGTCAATTTTTACACCCAAACACTCGTTTTACAGTTTACATTGGGCTGACAAACATGATGTCATGGTGCTTGCAACTATCCGTATTTCATTTTCGGATCAAATGTTGACGTAAATCTTAACTGTTCTAGTTTATCACCTATCTTTCCTGGCTTTGATTATCGGCAACATAGCCATTGCAATTTATTTGAAATGGCACAATCTGGCTACGTGACAACCGGTCGGGTTGCTATAAGATGTGCAATATGCAGATTTAGTTTGACGCGAAACCGACTAAATCCTTTGTAACCACCGAACTATATTCTTTCAGAGTTATCAGAAATCACCTACACTGTGTTTACATTACATCTCTACAGGTTGAAAACATGGGAAAATGCCTAAATGTATCTTTCACAACCTAGGAAGTAAGATGATCTAAGCCATCCCACAGAGCCCTCAAACGTGCTGGACCTTGTTACATAGGGATTTCCTTCCTCATACTCTTCTATCTCACCGGAATAATGCGATAAATGAGAAAGAAATCCTAAACCATAGAATGCAAATACTTCTATGAGGTTCAATTCCTACCTCCTAATTTTCTCAATATATTAAGTCACCTATTTAACTGATTGATGCTATAATTTTCATCAATTTCTCCTAACAGAATTTTAGTATAATAAAATTGGTAAACATGCGCTTCACTGTGAGAAAAAGTTTACGATCACATATAACGTAACTGCGTTTGTCAGTTGGAGTGGAGTCTATCCTACCTGAATTTTTCACCATTTGTATTTCCTAGAAAAATGGTTAACTTGACTGCGTGTTTGAGGTACAACTGTTTACTATAGTAAATTGAATTGCTGTAAACCCAATTTGGTTGAGGAAAGCGCCAGGACAAATGGAGAAAACGAGACCGCGCCATTATTGGCTTTCATTGATTATTTTGAATCACGGTGTGACACTAACTGCACTGGCCGTGTATATACTACCACACTTTAACAGGAGAATTCTCTTCTAAAGGTGATACAGAATTACAGTTGTCTGGTCTGATGTGTTAACCCAATGCGAATTTGTTACATTCGCTCCCAGACAGCTTTAGCGATTATGAGAAGCGGGCCCTCGATGAAGATCGCATTCTTTGTACTCGTAACAGGAGTACATTGTGAATATGCTTAGGTAACTAAAAGCCTCCTACAGGAAAACCAATCACAATAATTTCTCAGCGGTTTTGTATGAACACAAGGTGCCCAGTTTTATCCAAGTAAAAGATACAAGTTCGCATTGTTCATTTTCATTCAAACAACCTTGCACAGGTTTCAGATAACGCAGTGCAGAGATTTACGTTTGTTTCATTCGTCAAAGCAATAATTATCGCGGTTAAAACAAAAATAAAATGCCATATTAAACTGCAAATTAAAAACAAAACACTCAGTGGCTGTATGTATGGAAATAAAAAGGTTAACTACTCAAGCAGACATGAAGATAGACAAAATGATAACGACACGGTCAGAAGTAAAGAGACAAGTAAATATTCAATGAGAGATGTAAACAAAGCTATCAGTAAGTAGTCAAATAAAAACATTGAACAACTATATTTTGCTTACCGCTTTTTTTAAAGATGTTCAGTCAATGTTCAGGATGGGGTGTGTGGCTAAATAAAGGCAGCATTGAAAAATATAGAAATGTAAAAGTTGGGGGTTTGAACTCACGAATACCAGGTAGCTATTTAAATGACCTTTACCACTGTACCATACCGACCACAGCTAGCTATTCACTTGAAGGCCTGTCCTATTTCAGCTCAAAGTACTCATATATTTTTTATATACATAACCGTGTTTTGCAGTACACACCAAAAAGTATATTTCATTGAATTTTCCAAATTAACAACTTCCGGAAATTTGTACACAGTAGTGAGAACCATCATGAACTTCTTCTAAATATTTTTTATAATGATAATTAATATTAATATTTTTAATAACGGAAGTTTAAGCTGCATTACTCTTTAGACCGATATAAGTGATCATTTACCAAAAACAGTCAGTTTACTCCATCCCTAACGCAGATTGATAAATGAATCCATTCAGTCAATTAACTCCAGTTAATCAAGGTAGTACAATTATTCATAATAACTCTTTGAACAGAACATAATTCAAGCATGGATATCCGAAAAGTTAAGACTTTGTTCTGGTTCATTATCTGAAAATCCCTCTCCACAGCCCACAATTCATGGCCATCGTCAAAGCGGTTTCGGCACTTAACCGTTTTAAAAGTAGCAGCAGCTATTTTGTTCACTCTATTTTGCTTTGTTGCTCATATATATAGTTTGTTTGATTGTCTATCGGATACTATTGCTTGACGAAACGGCACCTGAATATCGATGAAGACATCGTGCACCGAATTGGAGCATCTCGAATCCTTAGAGTGACCCGTTGAGGCAACAGGACTTCGGTCTGTTAAACACAAAGACTAAAGGTCATAATGCTTTGCAAAACAAGTCATTTTCGGTTGAGTTGATACGTAAAAAGAACGATGGGATGGAAGCAGAGCAGTAACAATGTCCTTAAGGCTTCATCTGTATCAGTTATATGCATGCATGATGCGTATACCCTCGGATAAACGGTGTGAATCACCGTGATATGCAGTGTGTGCGTGAGAGACTGGGAACCAAGAACATGATACTGCAATAAAGTGAAACCTACGATACAGAACAAAAGCTGAATACATTTCAGTGGTGCATTTTTATCAAACAAAATCATGTAGGCATAAAACAGAATGAATCTAAAACTTCTATTCTTGGTTAGCCATTACACTTTTATACATTATTATACTATTATCGTCGTTAGTTGTCTAACTTATTGATACTATTTTCGTTTTTCTTTCAAAGATATTCTCGCTTCTTAATCCTGAAAAGTATGATTTATTGCACACATGAAGTTAGAGCGAAATGTGTGTTTTAAAGTATGAATATTGAGAATGAATACAATAAACGTGTGATAAGTAAGTTGTCGTGTTGAACCAAATCGCATGCTCCGAATTCAATGGATAGAAACACGCTCTGACGATAAACGTAGAGATCAAGATTGTGACAAAACTTTAAAAACACTTCCAAAACGTAGCTAATGTATGTTGCTTCATGCAGATATTTTGATCAAACTCGTGTGGCTTGAGCCGGAATTAGGAAAATCTATTTCGGTTTCGAATATCACAGTTGCAAATTAATAGTTGAACTTGGTCTACCACAGCAACGCTCTTGATTAACCATGATTGCGATGTGAACTGAAGCCACCTCAAATGTCACGATAAAATTTGTTTATTTGAATGTTTGCAGTTTAAAATTGGGAAATATTTGCTCCACAAGAAAAATCATTATTCTTCGGGAGTGATAGCAATTCCAAGAAAATGTTTAATATGTTCAGTCGATAATATACAAACAGGATTTCTTTTTCGATACGGTGCAGCGTAAACAGTGTAATAAATTATAATTTTTCATCCAAGAAATAACATTGAAGAGGTTGTTGCTACACACTGCTTGTGTAAAATATGTCATCATTGATTGAGTAAAATTATTTTCCAAAACACATGAAACTTGACTTTCAAAATTATATCTTGAGAAGTACATATCGTCAAATCAGCGTTTTATGTCTTTATAACTGACCTGAATTAAACAGATAGGTGAGTATATTAAAGATGTAGGGATATAAACAGATTTTGGGATGGTCATGGTGTCGTTTGAGTTTGCTCGTTATATATATATGCCGTTTTTTATGCTCTCAAAACATACATGAGATTTTATATTGGATTGCCAGGTGTTTATGGTTTTCCTGACGCAGATTGCGAGTGAAAAGCTTTTTACTACATTACGTTGCACTCTATTCAGGCAACAAAATATATTTGAAAAAAAAATCAATTTACATTTGATTGGGACCAGTCGGAAAACATCCAAGAGATGTGCTGTTTTTTAACGCGCACCTGGATTATACCGTGATAAGAAAAGATTTGTGAGAAACGTCTGGAGTAGATCATGTTTACATGCAAATAATCTAGGGTCATCCATGTTTTTACTTTAAGCTGAATAACACGTAACTTATCATCATTCTCGGGAGGTAGAATGGTTAACAGCTTTGACGTTTTTCGGGAAGACCATGTTGTTTTTCTACGGTCACTTTTCACGCTGCCTTATTTACCCAATGTGATGCTTTTTCCAGGCAGAACATTTAATAACGCTTTCCTCGTTCCCTAAAATTGACTGAGCAGTGGTATGTTTCACAGACCCATACTTTCAATAGGGTTTGCTTGGAGTTATCACATGCAATAAGCAGCGGACAGTTGCATCAAACCTGTGACACTATGGGAAAGATAGTGTGGGTAGAAGTGTTACACGCTCAAAATTAGGCAAATTTTAAACGGCGTTAGGAGGGAACTAAGAACACAGAAGTGGAGGATAATATCAGGAAGAAATATAAGTTACACGTGGGCATCAATATACAAGCATGATATTGAAGACTAAAATGTATTTCCAAAATGAGAATGAGAATGATGTTTGATCAACACCTGTATATACAAACGTTTGCCGATACAAAATATGCATTTTGAATCCCTTTCATTCAGATTCCCTCCTTATTTATCAAATTACAATTGGTAATCACTACCCGAAACCATGAATGTGCGCCCATAGCCTGATGATCGTTATGCACAGCAGTCGAACGGATTTCGCTTGTTGAAGCCAGTGACTGGTAGGATACGAGTGAACCACAGAATAACAGAGGCTTCACCGATCACCACTAATTCACATGTCAAAATGCTTTTAACCGAAAAGGAACCCGGTGAAACCTAGGCGTACTTGTTATTGGGTGGGAACTCGATTCCTAGGTCGGTTCACGTGACCAACGAATAGTTGATTTGTCTACAAACGTCCAATAAATAACTTACGTATAATAAATTCGCATGCTCTTGATAAGAGCCCAAAATACAAACCTGGTTAGGGTACACCTTTATCAACAGCAGAATAAAAAATGAAATATAAACCGGTGTCAATAATCGTAAAAGTTTCAATCAATTATAGAGCATTCTGTAATCAGCTGGTTGATAATCCCCAACAAGATGAGAAAATTGATAAATCTCATAAATGTGAATACGTGTTGCGCTTTTTCGACTTCACCAAATCGGCTCACTTTCTATTTTGACCGCTCTTACCCAAGCTTCGATGAACACTCATGCGTTGATGCTGATTTCCAACTTTTTAATCTGTGCTGAGCATGATCAAAAGATTTGATTGTTGACACAAACATACATGCACTATGTCAGCAATCCGCTCGTTAAATGCTAACAAAATGCCCTTTTCGTTGTAACGGGAGTCGATTAACAAAAGAGATTGCTATTCTTCGCGCCTGCCAACGAAAGCAGTATATATGCATATATATATCATAGATGGATGAATAGATTCTTTTCGTTTCTTATTAATTCAGCTCAATTTATGATTCTTATGTGGGACAATTCCGCAGTCTCAAGCAGCTGGGAATCCATGTATCTGTACATTACTTAAAATCTGGAAACATACATGGATGTACTTGATAAATATCCAGTAGAACCGACTAACTTAGTTACATATCGTGCTCAATGCTCTTTCGTGTCATTTATTAGTCATTTATTCAACCAGCCATTCAAATTTGGAACAATATTCACAGTTCAAATGAATGTTTGCCCTTGTTCCAAGTTAGTCTCGCTTAGATCAAGAATAGTTTTGATCGTGATTCTTCGATTGGGGTAAAAATCGAGTATCAGTTGAATGTGTGCGAGATGCGGTGGTAAGCCTCTCGTACCTGTGTAAAGCTAAGGATTAGGCTTAGCCTAGAAAATGACAGATTGAAGAATAGGCATGGCAACTGAGATATCACGACAGAAATACACACTAAACTTATGTGATTGGCTAGAACCAAAACATAAATCTATCTGAGGATTAAACCCAGAATATTTTTGAAGGTTATTACTAAAGTACTGAAGTTACGTGTTCACAACAGGCATGCAACTATGGGTTACGCAACTACGTATATTGATAAAAATGCGGTTTATCGGGGACTATTCAGAGGATGCTCACTCGCCCATCGTTTTAGTACTTGAATTCCACTTGAATTCCAGTAAATAAATTACATCGCATTTTCTCACACTACAACGGTCCGTATGCACCTCGAGGTAAAAGTGTTTTATTTGAGCTCATCGTATTTGAGCACTCATTCAGGTGCGTCTTTGCCGCATTCGTCTAGGCGTCTGTCTGAGCATATCACGAAACGTTATCCGGAGTTGTTCAACTTAGGGTGAGATGCATGTCCTTTCTAATTGCAAAGAAACTCACTTAGTCGATTATAGTTGCAGGTTACAAGCGGATAGCACATTTCAAGTTCTGTACCTGCAACTAACTTAATAAAGTCAGAACTGTGACCGTGGGGCCATGAACTCCAAAATCAACTTGTTTATGCAAATAATTTGCTGAGACCGGAATACAGGAAATAGTGAGCATGTCAATTTTAGTATCAGCCGAACCCTTATTTGTACACAAGACTGAAACTATCCTAACTGCAATTTATGTCAATTTCCAAACGATCTGTTACTCTTTTTTCCAGTGCATTCTGGTGTCATGCCCACAGCCTGCTGCAATCAGCAACGTATATTTTTATGGTTTATAATAATAAGACTAGGAATCATTGGAATGTATTACCCGCTTTTGATCCAGTTCTCTATTTTCTATGAATTAAAATATTTTCGTTTTTCATTTAGTTACACACCTAATCTTACGTCAAACAACTAGCAGCATTCTCGCTCTCTGTTCCCATCAAATTTTCTAAAATGAAAGAGGTTTGTGCGGTGGTCCCTGAACCATTCAGGGCACCGTGGTAAGTACTGTCTCATTGAAATTCGACTTAACTTGCGATATGAACTATCAAGGTTTCATGAACCTCATCTATATCAATCATCATATTTTTGAGATTATTTTCCTAAAATACTACGTCAGTATTCATCCTGAACACGTTTATGGTTGCTATTGGGAAAGCCAACGTGATCCATAGTGATATATTTCATGTGTTTGTAGCACTATATTTTCCACGTAAACTTGACTAATATTTCATTCCAGCAGGATTTCTGTCATAAGATACCACGATCTATTTCTAGCACCTATACTGCGACCATAACTCGTCCTTGTGGTCCCCGAGATCTATGATTTGTGGAACAACAAATTTATTTGACAGTAATCATTTTGTCAAACTGAAATATATGGAAGATATTTTTAAAAATGACATACTTTTGTTTATTGACTTACAAGGTTTTTAAGTCATTTTCCTCGTTTTGTATTTACCTCTCGCAGGTTAACACTGACGGAGGGAAAGAAATTTACGATTTGGAAATTTGCAAACAACCCACCGGATTTGGTTTTACTGTCGTCAAAAGAAATGACAAGTTTTTTGTCGAAAGCGTAAGCTGAATCATTTTGCAACTACCACGTTGATTTAAACCCAAATTCCCAATAAATTCGGAATAAATTGGTATCACTGTGCAGAAAATTAATTGTACTAATCAAATTGCTTATACCATGCATGTGTTTGGGGCTCTGAACAAGACCAGGCAAATGGAGAGGCATCTTCGGTGGGAATCTGTAGGATGGTTTCGACTCATCTTGCGGAATTCTCATCCTATTTATAGAAGGCCTGTTATCTCAAAACTACTATTCGTTTCGATGATGCAAACTGATATTGCACTTTCTCTCCGTCTTACACTAATTTCCGTTTTTCGTTCTCCAACGCAGTTCGAGATCAGTTGTTTGTTTGTAATACACTTAATTCAAACCAGAGTGGCACCACCGTTTGCAGTACGAATAGTCAATTCCTTTCTACTACTGCGGAGACAACCTGATTTAGGTATGTCATTTTCACGTGAGACGCAGACTTCAAATGGGCAGCCATCATAAACGGTTGACTTAAAGCCTATCGAACCACGACAAACCACTATTTTTGCATTCCAACGGTTGAGAAATAGTGGATCTTTCTTGCTTCATTCGTTTTCTTTCACATTCCAAAGCAAAATCGACAAGTTATGTTTATTTACACCCAGAATCATATTTGTCACGAATTGAATAACAAAATCTAAATACCCGCTTCAAGAAACCGCATCAATCTGTTTAGCTGATACTACGTGAAGAATAATTGTTCCCTACCCTACTAGCAACATAAAAAATATACTAGACCATTCACGGTTCAGTCTATGAAAACTAGCTTACTCTTCCCTTCAAACCATATTACTCGCCACACGTTGATGGAAAACCCACCACCATGTAGGCTAGATGCACTCGTTTGGAATGATGTGCATTTGACCTTCAGACTATCCTTGTATCAGCTATGATCCGCAATTGACTTGTTGTTTCGTTGCTCTACAGGATATTATCCTATTGTTTTCCCTAATGGTGAAACCTATACGCCCACTACTCTGGGAACGCCCTTTGGAGGCAGACTGTCATCTAATGCATCGTTGTCAGCCGTTATACATTCAGACAGCAATTGGTAAACAGTAGTCGTTGTATGTATTACAAACAGGGATAAGTACAACACTGTTTTAAAGATGTTGAGGTTAGACAGCCGTTCGACCATAATCATCAATACATCCTCGGTAGTAGCCTTCCTCAGAAAGTCAACCATTATCAGAGATAGAAGGATGCTGGAAAACATCAGATCACCTGTACTCTTTCATATGAATGAAAGCCGTAGATTTTGCTTTGTCTAATGCTTTTGGTATTCAAATGACGAGATTCTAGGAGTTCTACATAGCATTGAGCTGACAAACGACTTGTTCATGTGAAGCGGTCATTTCGAAACGGAACGAACTAGATAGTCAGTGCTTGTTTTTTCACGAAATTTGATGTGTCAACTGGAATGCTTCAGTAGCAGTTCAATGATTTGCGTAGAGGCTAAACGTGTAACGACCGCGAAAATTTAGTCGTCGTATGTTCGCATCTGTCTTTTGAAACCGTGCACACATAACTGTGGTTAGATAAAAATAAAGATGACTTGTTGAAGTAGAACATGCTCTTCTTCTTTAGCAAAAAAATATATTGGTGATTCACTTGTTCATTTTAGCGGCAGATTTGGAAGGGCTCTTAAATCCTGCCGGTACCGGTGATCAATTATGAACTGCATAAGTTAGAGAAGCGTGTTTTCCGGTCCAAATGAAACGTTGCATTCCGCAATGGGAAATGTTGCTTTTCGGGTGCTTTACCAGACAGCAAACCATTCAAGATTTACTGATAACTAAATGCATTTACCGGAGGTATTGATTATTTTCACTCGCAGGAACAAAGTTTATTTATTCAACAGCTGCAAAATTGTTCAATGTTTGCGACCGTCAAAAATAATAATGTATTACTTGGTCTTCTAGTGACAGCGAACACAAAAGCAGGTTGGCTTCTCTTTACACAATTTAAAATTTCGGTTGTACAGTGCAATCTTGTTTACATCTAGGAGAGGGGGTACCTCCAGCATACCGAGATTACAACAAAACACATACATGTGCACGATACTCAAGTTACCTGTGTAGACAGTGCCGAAAACAGTTTATTCACCTAGATTTAGGCGACCTTTCAAGCATGTTTCTTCAGATCTCCACTTGACGTAACCGTATGCTTTAAGTTATGTCTGGTAGCGTGCCTCTGGATTATCTTTAGAAATCTTCTTTAATCACTTCAGCTATCTGACGAACGTCGTGACTAGAGAGTGTTATGAAGAAGAAAACCAGCGATAGCAGATCCGTTTCCTTGGGAGAAAAATGACCCACGGTGGATTATTAACGGAAAGATAATTTGTCGCTACATTCGAAAAGTGCTGCAGACCGCCTACGACAGAGAGAGGAGGTAAACGCAACATTACTGAACGATGAGATCTGTTACGACAGAAGTACACTGAAATCATACCATCTATAATATTGATCTCCTCATTATATTGAACTTGATTAAATTTATCCCGGAGAATTTCTCACAAGAATAGCCAGCTCAGCAACGGGATATTGACAGAACAAGACGTAAACAACACGACTTCGAAACCCCTCAACGCAAATGAGCTGTTAGTGGCATCTTTAACAGACAATTAATAGGTCAGCATTTCTGTGGCAATACAAGAGGTTGTGTACCAGCGTTCACATTAGAAATCTGTTATTTAAAAGCTGTGTTTTCAAAAACTCCTAGTGTATTGCATGAATGAGCCTTTGTGTATTTTGTTCAGTTTGGCCTATTTTGTTTCCTAATCCCATGCCATCTAACGTCCAAATCCGTCCCCCCCCACCTCAAGAGAGAAAATTCATTTAATTATCACGCACATATATTGAGCATTCGCCTATTTAAGTCCTCGTACTTAAATGAGTAGCATTTGTCTGTCAATGTGTGGTCGTGAAAATCGGGGCCTTAGACAGACAGCATGATGGGCAGACAGACAGATGGACACACAGGTGAACATTATCCGAATGATCCATGTTTTGCACGTCATTTATGCGCAATCACATCACAGTTATCACAAATGGACGCTGAAGTGAACGACTTGCATATCATCAAATTAGTGTACGCTCACCTCAACCGAGAGTCGAGAAGATTGATGACCAGTTCTCATAAGTGGCCACACGTATGAAACACCAAAACAGATCATCACCTACAGGCAACAAATTATGTTCCCTGTGTTTGTGTTTTGAAAACGCACGTTCAGCAAACACCTGGTGTCTGTTCAAACTCAAAAGTTGTATACAGATTTAGGTATACTAGTTTGTGTAACGATGAAACAATCACACAAGCAGCCGTTTCTAGGTGCTTTTGCTAATGGATAGGATCCTTGCCACTCCAAAATAGTTAAGATCATTTTTTTACCACCAAATATGTTATGACTGACACTGATTTAACCTCTGGTTAAGATTCGCATATCTGAACAATGTCGACAAACCATGTTGAATGCAATCTTTCATGAGTTGCTATCATTCTTCACTCGTCCACAAAGGAAGGGCAGAAGTGGAACGTGACTGGAAGGAACCTGTCCTTAATTCCGAGGTCATCCATTGAAATTGAAACGTTCTGCCAGAAATTCTTACTTCTTTATACCCCAAGGCAAGGGTTGATTTGTGTAGCTACTTTCTCGAAACAAATCATATACTACTGATTGAAGAAAGCAATTAGTGCTATCAGTGATACCTCGAATCAAAACTGTAAAAGCGTGTGCTGTAAAAAAGCGTATGCGGCGTCCATGCGTGAGATCGAATCCCACGGTTACTGAACTTTTCACAATCTCAGCATGAAGTAGAGAAATACGATCATTCCAATAAAATAGCATTATAGATCTAATCCCTCGAACCAGTTAAGTGGTTCGTGGGGATTTTTAGCGACAAAAATCAGTTTAAATCAATTCAGAATACGTGCATCAATGCACATCTTGTCTGTTTGCAATTTTGAAAGAAAATCCGAGCATTCAGGTTAGCTTTCTCTTTTTCGTCTGACCCAACGGTAATTTCGCATGCTCAGACATAAGTGCATGACGAATGACGTTCTTATGCAAATTTGCTTGAGTTTTGTCTGTTTTGAAACGAGTGTTACTGTGCAATCTCTCGTCAAACCCTGTTCCTCATTTTCACCTTAACTCACTGAACCAACTCTAAAAACAACTGATTGTTCATTGCTGTCTCGTTGCATTTTCCATACAAATGGGTAGATTTTCTTTAATTTTAATATTTGTAATCAGTTGTGTCTGTCTGTTCTTGCGTTTTTTCCATCCTCCCCCAATTCCCATTATTCCGATATTCTTATATTTAATATCCTTCAAAATCGCCCTTGAAACAGGTCTCTTCAAATCTCAGTTACATTGAGCGAAGTGGTCATGCGGAAAAGAAACTTCACCCGGGTGATCAGCTATTGGAAATGGGTCATTTGAAGTTGGATCCGCTCACTCAGTCCCAAGTGACGCGTTTGTTCGACTCGTATCCAGTGGGAAAATCAGTCCGTTTTGCCGTGAGTCGAGGTACGTACCGGGGTTTTCATTATCTTTTCTTCGGCCCGTCTAAGAACAAAGTGCATTTGTTTTCTCCCATGGGATTTAGGTTCACGTTCAAGGTTCTTTTATGCTCGTTTTGGCATTCATTGTTCACGAGTTTAATTCGAGAATTCACACATGTTTTTCTGTACTACAAACCTTACAAATAGTGACCTTACAGTGAATGAAAGTGTCCCATTGTGTGTAATACTTCTCCGATGGCAGAGCAGAGAACCGCATTCCGTGCATCGTCCATGGAGTACAACACTATTATAAACCGCGTTCCGCATGCGGGTGTATAAGTTCACAACCAGATAACAAAATTAGCATAAAACGTCTAAGATTGAAAAACCACAGATATGAATTGCAATCCATAACCTAAACGTAAAATTAAACGAAGGTTATTCTCTCAACAATGCCCTGATTCATATTGCTGAAAGTAATTCGGAGATAAAGTGACCTTGAAAAACCCCTGCTTTGAGTTGATGATAGTACGCCTCTAAACTGAGCTGTTTTCAGTTAGTGTTGTGACGAACAGTACTTCATTGGCTGACTAAAATAGAACAATCCACCAGCCGGTTCTGACCGTACTTAGGGTAATTCGATCTTTACGCTGTTCTGTTAAGTAACCTCGACTCCGAATGTGACGTTAGTTGTAATATGCTCATGTTTTTCACAGTAGTGTGCAATTATAATACCTTTTCGATGGTTCTCTATACAGCGCTTGGTATGTCTAATTTTTTTCATGAATCATTTGATTGCCTACAAGACTGAGGATCCTAAGTTTTGAACGTCGGGAAGTTTTGTAAAGTACTTTCAAGCTGGTCATGATGAAAATAATTTACTAGTGTTTCACCTGAAAATCGGTTGAGAAGAGTGCATGGTTCAGTGAAAAAAACTAAATAAGATTTATGTTCCTATAGATGAGAACATGATATGTTTTCAGGTTGCCTCTCGCCAAAGTGTTCTACTTTTGTCCTCCTACTTCAATGGTAAGCGTCAGACGTAATCAGTTCTCAGTAGTCGCTCGGGGGATTTCAAAAACTGTGAAGATTAAATGCAACTTCATCCTCACAACCGAGAGCGTCCTAGTGAGAACAACAGTAAGGAGAGACATCAGGGATGTTAGCATTGGGAAAACTGACATCCGATATCCAATTAGAGGTTGCAATTTATTCCCATTTTGCCTTTTTTAAAGATTGAAATTAGGTCACATTGAGTGAACTTCTGAAAACGTATGACTCAATTACCTTGTTTCAATTAGAGTGTATTAGTCGTGCTTTTCAAACAATTGATAATAGTGAACTTTGCACCAGTTACCGCGACTCAACTACACCAGTTTGTAATCTGACAGACAATTGTGTTTGTGCAAGCTCCTCAGCAAACCGAATTGACCGGAATGAATTAATTCCCTGAGATTATGGGGCTATGCAAATTCACGCACAACGGGCAATATATTCTTGGTGTCTGCTCGGATATGCCTCCCTGGGATCGCATGTGCAATAGCGTAGACATGATGCGTTAAACTTCGAGAGAACGATGAAAACCCGCTACCGTTCAATTTTTGTAGAAAATACGTTAAAAATATTTGGCTTGTGTTGTCCGGTGTCCAATGTATTCACCGTACCTCGTGTAGTTCGTCGTCATTGGTTTTCATCTGAATCCAGGATGTTCACATTTCGAGTCCAACCAGGGAACCGAAATGGTATTTACCACTCATGAGCCCAGGTGAGGTTAAAAAGTCTGTGAAGTGCACTTTGTGTGCATTACCCCAAGAAATTCTCTTGGTGATAAAGTCATGTTTCATTCGTGAGATAAACTGTTGATTTTTTGTTCTCATCTGCTTATTCTGAGTTTGTTGAGTTCGGAAACCTGCCGGTTCAGTTAATTGTATTGATCTCATTTTCTATTCCATCAAAATTTCCCAAACAAAAACAGTGTGAACGATACAATTTTGTAAACGGACTCGTTATGTGAAACAATATGTCCGAGTTTAGCGTTGCCAGATATTCTAGGACAATTTACCAGTTCTGAACGAGTCCGCTTCTCGTGAATCCTCCAGTGGCTAACACCACACATTTTAAACCATGAAATTTGATGTGTTGTTCATCCGAAAATGACAAAAATATCACATCAAACACACTCACTGGTTCCTGTCAATAAAGGGTGGTGGTGTTGCGGATGACTGTGTCGAGTATGAGGATGACGCAGAAGATCGGGAATTCTAACGAACGGCTTTGATAGGGGAAGTTCTAGTTTGAATAAGCGAATTTCGATTGATTTCGCTGTGCCCAGAATGTTATTCGAGATCACCTTAGCTCGTCAGCTGCGAACAGAAAAGAGGTGATGAAATGTGTGGTTCGCTTCCAATAGATGTGAATGGATCGAATTATTGATAAACTCTTCCACTCAGTCGGTTTGGGTAGTGCTTATGAACTTATTCCGATAAAGATCTGTTCAAACGATCAAATCCGAGTAACATCCGGACATAAAATAGGATGTCCCTTTTGGCTTGTGAGATGTATGGGCCTGAGAGCAAATATTTTCTTCCTTTTACTTTTTCTTTCTAGGTCAGAGCAGGTTAAACTGCAATCTAGTGTACACTTTGCTTTTAGTATTTCATTATTTTTCTGCAATCCTTCGTTTTCAGCCGATTAGGAGGTATGTGAAAATTGATCTATGCACTTCTTATCTCTTTGCTGTATTGGGTTCATATGCGGATTGATTTCCACCAAAGAGAGTTTACTTTATCTCAGATAATGTGCTTGGAAGACCGTAATTGCTCTTAGAGCATCTCCTGGCCGAATCATGTGAAACAGCTGGTGACCGGATGGAACGTACTCTTCCACTAGTCATCATTCAAATTCAAATTCAAATTTTTATTATGGGTCAATTACAAAGCTGATGCTTATTAAATCCCATATGGTCTGTTCACACTGGGTTCGGTTGGTAGTTCAATTGAATAGCAAATTCCGACGTTCACTCACGGGCACTGACAAGTTAGGTTTTATTGTTTCATCCATTCATGACATGAATAAATCCATGGTTGATGCACAAACAACTTGAGATGAAAGAGAGTTCCAGGTGTTTCAAACTGAGGCTGAAAAGGTGACGCCTGCAGTCTAGCTGACTCTTTCGGAGCAGGAGTTTAAGCGGATGTCCTCGGAAGTGACCATTCTTGGATAGTGTTAGTAGAGTACTGTGCGGGTGGTTAAGCTGATGTTGTATTTGATCAACGACCATCATGTGTCCCCGTATTCGATGATGTTCAGACGAATAGAGTTTGGAGAACGTAGCAATGACTGAGTTCCAAGTAAGTATGGAGAGCAACCCCTGCGGTGCAGCGATGCAGCCTTGCATTTATCAACGTTGAATACGAAGTAATTAGCGGTAGATCATCGGTGAGCTACGTTGAGCATTTCATGCAAGGTTTCATAATTTTCAGGATACTTTACCGTCTTCCACGTTTTGGCGTCATCAGCGAATAATAATGCCTTTTCTCCAAGGACATCTGGTAAGCCGTTTATGAATGCCAGGAAAAGGTACGGACCGAGTACGAATCCGTATGGAACTCAACGGACAGCCCCAATCGGTTCCCACAAAGAACCATTAATTCTAACCGATACGGTAGATTGAAAGAATTCCTCAATCTAGTCCAGGAGCAGTCCTCGAACACTGTAAATATGTAGCTTTCGTAGCAATAGATAGTGATTTACCTTGCCAAACGATTTGAGGAAGTCTAAGTGGACCACGTCTATTGCCTATCCTGTGTCAACGGATATTGTCCATTCATATCGTGCAAGTAGCACGGTTGTCGTGCAACAGCGTTTCCTTCAGAACCCGTGTTGAGCCGACGAAAGTATGCTATGTTTCTCGAAATGATCCATCAGAGAATGAGCAACAACTGATTCCACTAATTTTGACAGATCAGGAAGAAGTGTAACTGGACGGTAGTTCGCAGGATCACTTCTGCAGCCACCTTTGTAAATGGGCGAAATGATGCCAATCTTCCGGGATTGACGGATCTTCGTTTTGTCGAACATTCTTGTTTGAAATACAATCTCAGATCGTTCAGACGTTTAGTAACTATATCATGCCTATGTTCGTTGATAGCACCGAATACTCATGCCTTTTTAAAAGCTCGGTGCTCCAACAAACTGCTAACACAATCTGTCAACCTGGATCACTTTGTTGTATCCGTTCACGTGCCAACCGCAGCTTAAGTGATACATGATACATTAACAGAAAATAAACGATCTAGGCATAATGACCAACATCATTCACCAAGCGAGTTTGCTTCCAAGGTATGATGGAACAGATATGGAAACCACCTGTATTTTTACTATGATTGGTCAATCAAACTGCATTATACATGGAAGCAGACGCAGGAAATGATCCAGGAAAAACTGAACAAATCTTTGTTCTGGGCTTCCTCATTCATATTTGTTACGGTACCTTGCAGGTTCAAATAGCAATTACTTGTAATGGACTTCCAACCACTTGTGAGAGCGGTTTCGTTATTGACGTCGGTATTTCTGTTCAACAACATGGTTCATCAATAGTAAAGTGCTATATAGTGTAGTTCTGTTGATGATATAATTCGTATATATATATATATATATATATTCTGTGGGTGATCGCTCTCCATTGAAGCAGTTGTTGTTTGATGTGCAGAGAAATAACAGCCTGGTCCACCACAGGGCCTCCGATGAACAAAATCATACTCGTGCTTTTACGCTTCACACCAAAATGGAGTTATTCAACCGAGGCTGCCCAACCAGAGTTTCTTTAATATGAACCCAACAGGTTTTTCTTCAGACGCCACATTTTTTCCAATCTTTAAAAATACGTGTCGTTTAAGGAGTTCTGCGAAACACTCCTCGATAAGCAACTACCGTCATTCTGCATATGCTTCCGTCTATGTACTTACGGACAAGTACCTATACTTATTCCGACTCAGATAACCGTCGACCATTTAGTGTTCTCATGTTTCCATGAATTAAGGGTTAAAATGTGTAATTTGATTCCATCGGTTATCTGAGTCACATTCACAGACCGCTCTTGGTGTGAATTTATTTAGTGACTATATACTAACTGCATGCGTGATTCCGTTCACGTACCAAATCGTTTTAGCTTAATATTTGTTTTCCATGAGTGTTCGAAAAAATATTCGGTAACTTTCACTAACACTCTTCGGGATAAAACCAGCACACCAGGCCATAGTGCGATCCGTATATATACATACATATATATATGTCTAATTGAAACTGAATCAACGGGTCCCTGTGAAACCCTTGATAGTTCGTATAGGCAACATCATTTATACTGCGGTAAAAGCTTTTAAACCAATAATAAACAAGCCTTCTTGAATCTTTAGATTAGTGATCTCCGTGATTAGTTTATACAGAACAAATGCAATGGTTCCGAATGTCGTGAACATTCACATTTCGTCAGCAGCAGTTCACCCAGATCATGATGAGTAAAGAGCTAACTAAAGAAAAAAAACAATTTTTATTTACAACAAATTATCCTTGATAACAATTAAGCTGTAAAGTTTGTTTACACCACTGGTCAATTGCTTTGTCTTTATTCGTTGGAACTCTTTTGAGTCTCTTCGGCATTGAACCCATCAACTTTGTTATGAAGTCCTTTTCTATTTGTGCTCAATTACGTGTCGCACTTTAGCCCCCGGTGTCCAATGTACAGAGTAATACAAATTAGGTCATCTTCCTGTTTGGATATACTCGGTTTTCAGCCTCCACAGGCTGTTCAAGTTGTTGTTTTTCCGTGGATTATCCTGCATTGGCATTGGCGATTTGAAAAATCTATCTCTGTCCTCTTGGCTGAAATAACGAGAACTTACGAGAATTACCTTGATTTCAAGGTTGACCTTGATACAAACGGTATTTCTCGTATTCAGTGAGTTGGTTATTAACATAGATTAATAATATAGAACCTTATTTAATGCATTGTCTCTGGGTTGTAAAAGAATTTCATTCGGTTATTCAATATTGTTTCTATCATGAATCGTATGTTGGATAAAAGAATGTCTTATAACAAAAAAACGAAGATGGCCAAGATTTATGGAGGTAATTTGGAATAATTCTTGAATTGCTCCTTTTACAGTATATTGTATTTTCGTACTTGATAATGTTTGCGATTTTCATGTTGAGATTATTTCATCTAGGCAAACAAGATCAAGCACATTGAATTGACACTCATGTAGCATGGAAACTACGTGGATTGGAGTAAACAAGGGATAGCTTATTTTCCATACCTAAAGCGTTAATATAGTTGATAATTGTAATGAAAATGAATTTAGTCAGAAAGAAAATCTTTTGGCGCGTCACAATCGGCCACTACTGCATATATGTATATATTTATATATGCATATATATATGTTTATATATATATATAATGTCCCACATGGTATTGCGACATGAAATAGGCATATATTTTCCTTTTGCATTTTACTTCCTATTTATTAAATATCCAATGATATACTATTCAGGAAGGGGGTGACGGCCAATCAAGGGGCTGCTATTCGAACACTCGGGTAATAATTTCGTGATGTTACGACTGGGCCACTACCGAGAAATTCGAGAAAAATAGGGCCCTAAAGAGTTTTGCTTAGCTGCTTTACAAATAAGCAAGGTTTTATGTGTTGCGGGTAACAGCAACGGTTATACAACGACACAGGATCGGATGAAGGAGATGTCATACACACATGGTGGAAGCAAATCACACAGACGATTACAGGGCTTCAAGATGTTGTCCAATTTAGCGAAGCCCGGATTACAGCACAAGTGAAGATGCTTGTCCAATAGCGTTTAATACCAGAAAAATGTTTGGGTAACAGGTTAATAGTGAGTAAAACGACATAAAAGACAAATAAATAAAAATAAGCATTTCGATTTTAATGGGCACTCTCAGATTGCTGACTTTAAGGAATATATATTGTACATGATTGAGTTAAACACGGTTAACCCGGATTAAACTTAGACCACTTTAATTCTTTTAATTCAAATCAACCTAATTCAGTTTAATTCAGTGTAATGCAAAGCGTATCACTGGCACACGGTAAATGTTGTTTTGGACTTCACCTAGCATGTTTGAGTTGCCTAAAATAATTGTCAGTAAGTATATCGTTTGATTTGTTTAACTACAGATGAACAGAATATATCAGCTATTCGAAGCTGGATTGACCCCGATCACCGCTTATTTGAATGCTTTGTCCTACATTGATTCACACTCAAAGCTGTTTGAGCTACTTTGCATACAACAAAGATCCCACATAATCTTTGTTTTCAATCTCGATGTACATAAGTCAACAGTATTATGTTATCGCTTGGGTGCAGTTGTTGGTTTGAGTTGCACCAAACTGGGGACCAAAATGTTCCCTTCTTCTTTGTCTAGCGCGTAAGTATGAACCTTTTTTGCATACTACTTCTCGGCACGAAGTCAATTCGAATGAACTCAACCGCATCCCGGATCATTTGGATAGATTTGTTTATTCCCTCCTGCATCGCGAATAAACAACTAAAAATGGGAATGCAATGAATCAATACTAGCGAAAACAAACCGACTGAAATCATTGGATAAAGCGTGAAAAGTTGATAGTTTTATATCCCTACTGCATTCCACATCATTTCGAGAAG